TTAGCTTCATATAAATCATTCGAATTTCTATAAAATATACCATGTTTTTGCTCAATTTTCAAAAGTTCTCTAAATCTTACGAATTTTTTTAGATTTATCATATTTAGTCAAAATCTATAAAAAATATTTCTTTTCTTAAATTTTACAGCTTTTTTTCTATCTTTTACTTATATTTATCGTAATTGGCCCATTTTAATATCCTCTTTTTACATATTTTGAATATCGTTTATCATAATGCCTTTTAATTAAAAAGTAACATAAATTTTATTTAAAATTATTAAAAATATACTTTTTGATAATAGCATTACATCAAGCGAATTTCGTTACATTAATTGATCGTAATAAAATAATCGTAAATTATAAAAAACTCAAACTCTAATTATAATATAATAAATATAATTTAAAATTATTACTATAATTGCAGTATAATTTCATTTTTTTGCTCGAAAACATAAGATTCTAAAATTAAAAAATAAAAATTAAAGATATTATCGAAAATAATATTAACATTTCCAAATAAATATAATTATTAAGAAAAATTCTATATGTTATAAAATAAAAGTTAAAAGTTTTTCTTAATAGTTTTTCTTAATTTATTTGAAAATGTTAATATTATTTTAGATAATATCTTTAATTTTTATTTTTTAATTTTAGAATCTTATGTTTTCGAGCAAAAAAATGAAGTTATAGTAATGTGATTTTAAATGCTATTATAGTTGCTATTAGAGTTTGAGTTTTTTTATGATTTACGATTATTTTATTACGATCAATTAACGTAATGAAATTATTAAGAATTTCCTTCTCTCTGTTGGACAACACAACGGTCATTTCACACGCACTTCAACTATTTAATTCACATTGTATAACACATTCACGAAATCTTGCAGAGTCAGCCAATACCTTCAGATCGTACCGCGAATACTTTCACATGCGATTCCTCATTGAAGCTTTCTCTCGCACGTTCTCTGTCGGATAAGAGGAAACAAAACATACTTATCCGTTTGTTGATTGATAAGAATCTAAGTGGATCACTTATCTCAAGAAAATCTCCAAAACGTGTTGCGAACTATGGTACAAGAGTAATCGGTGATTATGCTAAATGGAAAACGAGCGTGAATCAGATAGGGCAAACGAGATATTTGGTCCACATGCTTTTGCGTATTTCTGATCTGGTTTTTATCCAACCCGAATAGTCGAGTTCTGATTGATGAACTAAACCGAGCTATAAATTATGGTTTAACGTAACATCTACTTACACGTACATCTGTGATTATTTTACTTAAACATTGTCGACAAAGTTGTCAATGAAACAAATTTATACAATAATATCGATTATCATAAATAGGATCTGAATTGAATAACACAACGATTGAAACAAATATTTAACAATTGATAAAACCTGTTGCTAACAGTTAAAATTAAATCTTGAATTAAGATCATTTTTATTCAAAAATTTTGATTATTTCATCCAAGAAACAAAAAGTTAATTAAAAATAACTTATACGAAAATTAATTTGTAATAGAAAGTAATAATTTCTGTATCTTCTTTTATTTTGTATACGATATTTCTATAATGTAATTTATACATGACTTTATATCTATACAAAATTTACAAGTATTATTGAGAAGAATGTGAGAAAAGATTTCTCCTATTATTACGACTTAGTGACCAAAAACTACTTTCTTATTCCTTTTCAAATAATGTTCTCATGAGAGAACATCTCAAATGAGAATTTGATTATTCATGGAAGATATGTGAAACTAACAATAAGCAAGACTACCATCGATTATAAAATGATAATCCATAGATTTAGAAACTTGTTAAACATATATAAGCTAGTAATTGTTATTAATATATGCGACAATCGTATTCTCTGACACTTTCTTATTCTTCTGATAATATCCGCTTCACAGGAGAACATTGCCGTCGTTTATTATATCACAATATTCTATCATATACATGCCGATCGTCGTGATTCACACTTGCCGAGACTGGTTTGCATCCTATATTATTGTATCCTGGTAGCGTGTTACTCCACATGTTAAGAGCTTGTTTCTAACAATAAAGCTGATTCATACTTTGAACTGACTAATTGCAAAGTTTAATTTAAAGGATTTGTGTGACGTTTGTAATAATTCTATTAAATCACTTATATTTAACTGCGTTTCAAATCTAATTATATTATTTAAGCTGTAAAAGACAATTTATATTTATATATAATTATTTATATATATAGTATTAGTTATATATAAGCATTTCTTTTTTAAATAACAGTTTTTAATACATAATTATCAATTAAAAAAATCGTAAGAAGTTACTAGAAAATATAACTATTATTTTTATATTTTTAAATTTTTCATAGATTCATTTAAAAAAATCAATACATAGAACAAACTAAATCTTTAAAATTTAAATTAGAAAAACGTTACAAATTATTAAATAAAATACTTTTAAAAATTTTACTTAATGAAGAGAATTTCAAGTTGAATCTTTAATTATGAAAATGAGAAAATGCTGTGTGTTTCCATTAATCACAGCTAACATTAACAGGGCTTGGCAGATCTTTATCTTTATTTGTCCTTATAACTTGACTTTACTATTAAAATTCATTTGTTATAATTCGCCAACAGCTCATTGTACGTGTACGCAGAAAGTGAGAGGACGTAAGCTTCTCGTAACTTGTAATAGTGCCCGACATTACTTTCACAATGAGAGCAAGGTCTTATTTTCTACATTGATGGGTTTCGCTCCTTTATTTCTATCGGCATGTTTTATTTCAGTGTCCCTTTATACATTATTATGTATGGAAATGTTAAATAATTTTTAAATGTAATTTATATTCATGCAAATTAAATCTACGAACAATTACTCGTGCATATATGTAATTAATGTGAAAAGATTGATTATGTAAATATTATGATTTTCCATTTGAATCTGAGAAAAACGCAATTTTCAAATAAATATATCTTGAAATGAATATTGTAAAAAAACATTTATAACATTTGAAAAGAATTTTATTGCATTTGTAGAAGGCGAAGTATGAGAATTAAAAAATAGAAAATTAAAAAGTAGTCATATTTAAAGTACATATATTTAAATACATATTGCTTGCTAATTTATTCAGTGTTTAAATTTTTTATAAAATTATTTATTTCATGTGGCTCTTAATTAAAATTTTAAATCTATACAACAAGCTAAATATGAAAATATGAATATTTTAATTAAATTTTAAAAGATAATATATATTTTTATATTATTTTCACATATATTGAAATAACATTAATAATATATAATAAAATATTATATTATTTTTATATATTTCATTTTTGAGGGAATAAATGATATCGATGAAACAACGTTGATAATATCAACATCGTTTTTATCAACGTTCTATAGCAGTGATTCTAGATAGAGAAGAAATCTTTCTTGAAATGTAACATTTAGAGAATATGATAACATCTATTGCATAAAGTATGAACAGGCTTATAAAATTTATCGAATTTTTATACTATTTATTGTTTAATTATTAAGTATTCATAATATTCAGTAATTCTTAATAATAAAATTTGAGTAAGCTACTCAAGTTCGATTTCGATAAAATTTTAGATGTGCAATACTAATTAAATATAGTTGAATCCATAAATGCGGAGTTGCGAAAATATTTAATGTTCGAAATATTGAAATTTTATTTATTCCGCTTAATTAATTTTTTTTTAATTTTGATTAAA